TGGGCTTAGGTGATTCTCTTGCCTCAGCCTCCCAAATAGCTGGGACTATAGACACCTGCCACAATGCCCGGCTATTTTTTTGTTGCAGTTTGGCCAGGGCCGTGTTTGAACCCGCCACCCTCAGTATATGGGGCCAGCTCCCTACTCAGCCACAGGCGCAGTCCAGCCAGGCTATTTTTTTGTTGTAGTCATTGTTTAGTTGGCCTTGGCTGGGTTTGAACCTGCCACCCTCTGTGTATGTGGTTGGTGCTGTAACCACTGTGCTATGGGCGCTGCTGAGCCTGCAGTTGTGGTTTTTAAGGGGGTAGCCCTCTATTTGCCCTCCCCACCCCTCTGTCCCTGGTGGGCTGGGGCTGCTGAGCCCTGAGACAGCTGAGATGCTCTGATCCTACTACTTGGAGAACAAGAGCACTTGATCTTCCTCCTGGTCTGAGAGGCCTTGCTCTGGGGACAGGAGAGCCTCAGCCCCAGGTCACCTTGCACTCCTCAAGGGAGGCTTGTGGCTGAGAGCCCTGCCTCTGGAGTTGGGCACACTGAGTTCAAGCCCAAGGCTGCTTCCTAACTGGGAGGCCTTTACAATTGGCTGTCTCTGATTCTTGGCTTCTTGATCTGAAAAATGGACATAATGATACATTACTAAACGTAAAGTTTCATTCATTTTGCAACTAGTGGCTGTGTACTCCTCATGAAGATAGTAACTCCACAAGCAATGTATTGCAGAGAAAATGGCAATTAGAAGGGGTGTGGAGAGGAGGGGTTACCTGAGCTGGTAGGGTCAGGAAAGACACCTTAAGGGACTTCTCAGCTGAGACCCCACAGAACAGCTGTGGATAGCTTTGGGCACCTGGGAGCTCAGGGCCCAGAGGGCTAAGGGTGGGGCCTGGGGGGTCTGGCTCCTAGGGCTGCCCTTATGGGCTCTACTGAGGAGTTTGGAGTGTGTTCTGTGGGAAGATGCTGGAAGATTTTGTGGGTGAGAAGGGCCTGAGTGGGTGGGGCAAGAGAGGAGCTGGAACAATTTGGGAGGCTGGGGCAGAAGGATGGTAGCTTGGGTGAGGGTTCAGGGTGGAGGTGGTGGGGAGTGGTCAGATTCAGGTTGCATTTGGAGGTGTAGGTGGGAAAAGAGCAGCCAAGAAGACCCCCCCTGTTCTTGGCTTGTGTAGCTTGATGCCAGTTATTGGGGTGATAGAATGAGGGGGAGGGGACATGTTTAGAGGAGGTGTAAGGCAGTGGCTGAGGTGGCCTGGGGTGTGGTGCCGCCTGACCCAGGAGCATGAGGTGGGTAGAATGTGCAGATGAGAGGGAGGGGTGGAAGACACCTGGTCCCACCCCTGGGAGGGGGCAGAGGAGCAGTGGCTCTGCATCAGGGTGTCCTTACTGAGAGACGCTCCAGTGGGAAGGTGGGAGAGGAATGGAGATAGCACATGGGGGACACATGACCCAGTGAGGTCTGCTTGCTGAAGCACAGAAGTGAGGTTTTTGTCCCAGCCACCAGCCTTAAAGTCGGAAAGTGGAGCAGCCATCTGGTTGCCAAGCCACACTCTTCTTCAGATACTGCTTCTCCCAGGAGTTTTGCTGCAGTGGGAAAAGTGGGTGGGACTCGCGGTCAAGGGCTGGCTTTCTGCAGGTGGCGAGTATTCAGGCTGTGAGAGCCCTGGAGGATCAGAGGTGGACCTGGAGATGGAGAGTGATGCTGCAAGAGGGGCGATGGAGGGAGGGTCGACCACCCATCAGGTTCTACTGGGTTTTCTTTTGCAGGGAAGCATGAGGCAAGGCCTCCCCATAGTATGGGCATCCAGGATATAAGCAAGAACTTCTTGGCAGGGCGGGAAGCCACTCAGGCCCTGGGAGGTGGGACATGGGAGGACTCACACCCCCAGCCCATGCTGTGGTCAGTGGAGGGTGGCTAAGTGGCTGTCACCCCCAGAGGCTCAGTGCATCTGACGGAAGCCCTGGGACTAAAGTTAGAAAGGGTGCAGGTGTCACTTCCCAGCTTCCCAGGTTGGAGAGTTCCCAGAGAACAAGTTGAACTCAGCAGCTTGTGTTCCTTCCTGGCCCACAGGGCTGGAAAGGCCCACCAAGCTCTCGAGAGGTGAGAAGATAAACGGCTTTTCCTGAGAGAAAAAGTCTGGGCAAGAGCTGGGGCTGGAAGGACAGAGCAAAGCTGAAGACCTGATGTGCCCAAGACCTGGGCCCAAGTCGAGTGCCATGTTCTTCTCAAATCCAACAAGCATTAAACATGTGTTACATAAAAGGCATTTTGGGGAATGCAGAGATTAAAAAAGGTGAGAATTGTGCCTTCCAGAAACTTCCACAGCTGGGCTTGGTGGCTCACATCTGTAATCCTAGCACTCTGGGAGGCTGAGGCAAGTGGATTGCTTGAGCTCAGGAGTTTGAGACCTGCCTGGGCAAGAGCAAGATCCTGTCTTTACTAAAAATAGAAAAACTAGCTGGGCATTGTGGGTGCCTATAGTCTCAGCAACTTGGGAGGCTGAGATAGGAGGATCTTTAGAGCCCAAGAGTTTGAGGTTGCTGTGAGGTATGATGACTCCACAGCACTCTACCCAGGGTGAGAGTGAAACTCTGTCTAAAAGAAAAAGGAAAGAAAGAAAAGAAGAAAAGAAACTCCCACCTTAGTGGGGAAACATAGATGGTGGGCTAGTTGTGAAGGGAGGTGGATGGTAGAAGGCGATGCAGGCCTGAGGGCCTCTGGGGGGAACCTGGGAAGGCTCTGTGGAGGAGGTGGCATGTGAGCAGAGCCTTGAGTGAGGGGGTCTGTCGAAAGGTGTCTGGTGGGACCCGCGCCAAGCAGAGGCGTGGAGGTGAGTAGAAGGGCAGAGTTGCAAGGGCAGGTGGGGCTGGCCCCGGAGGGCTTTGAGGCCAGGTGTGGGTCCCCAATCCTATGGCAGATGCCTGTAGCGCTCTGCTCCTGGCCCCCCAATGTATGTGCTTAATGTCTTCTCCCCCTCTAGAAGATGAGCCACAAGAGGGAGGGGACACTGCTGTATTCCAGTATCCAGCACAGATTGGTGTGGGGGGGGGCATGGTGTGTGTATGGGTATGTGATGTGTGTGGTTATGTGTGATCATATGTGGTGTGTGGGGGTGTGGGGTGTAGGGTTTGGGTATGTGTCGTATGTGTGGTGTGTGGAGGGTGTGGGTGTATGTGAGGTGTACGGGGTATGTGTGGGTGTGTAAGGTGTGTCTGGTGTATGGAGGCATGGGTGTAGGGGGTGTTTGTGGGGTGTGGTTATGTGTGGTGTGTGTTCATTGTTTCTGGGTGTCTGTGGGTGTGTGGGTATGTATTGTATGTGTGGTGGGTGTATTGTGTGGACAGTGTGGGTGTATGGGATGTTTGTGGGTGTGGGTGTGTGTGTGTTTTTTTTTTTTTTTTTTGAGACAGAGCCTCAAGCTGTCCCCCTGGGCAGAGTGCCGTGGCATTACAGCTCACAGCAACCTCCAACTCCTGGGCTCAAGCAAGTCTCCTGCCTCCGCCTCCCAAGTAGCTGGGACCACAGGCACCCGCCACAACGCCCGGCTATTTTTTGGTTGCAGCCGTCATTGTTGTTTAGCGGGTCTGGGCTGGGGATTTGAACCCGCCACCTTAGGTGTACGTGGCTGGCGCCTTAGCCGGTTGAGCTATAGGCGCCGAGCCTTGTTTTTTTTTTTTTGAGACAGAGCCTCAAGCTGTCCCCCTGGGTAGAGTGCCGTAGCATCACAGCTCATAGCAACCTCCAACTCCTGGGCTCAAGTGAATCTCCTGCCTCAGCCTCCCAAGTAGCTGGGACCACAGACGCCCGCCACAGCGCCTGGCTATTTTTTTGGGTTGCAGCCATCATTATTGTTTGGCAGGCCTGGGTGGATTCCAACCTGCCACCTTAAGTGTATGTGGCTGGCACCCTAGCCACTTGAGCCACAGGTGCCGAGCCTGTGGGTGTGTGTTTGTATGTGGTATGGGGGTGTGTGGAGGCATGGGTGTGGGGAGTGTTTGTGGGGTGCGGGTACGTGTTGTGTGTGTGTGAGATAGGGACAGGGAGAGGGCGAGGGACTGAGACCCTGATTTAGGAGCCCCAGGCACCTGGCTGTAGGATTCCCAGCAACTGGCTGGGTTAGCAGCCTGCCACTGTGAGGATCTGGCCTCAACCCAGGCTGGAGATGTCGCGCTGGGCTGTCACAGGCCCTGGGCGGAGCAGAGAGAGACCCTGGGCTGGGAAGGGGTAGGTGGAGATGGAGCGGGCTGCTGAGAGGGAAGAGTTCTCAGTGACCCTGGGCACCCCTCTGT